CTCCTCCTCCTCCTCCTCCACCTCAACCATTCAAAATAAATAGTTTCATAAAGAAACAAAATAAAGAATTAAAAAAGAAAACAAAACAAAACAAACAACCCCCACGACATTTTCCCCCACGACAAGATCAAAGCAGAAGTCAATGGAACATGTAAACCCCTGTCCTATCCTTCAGTCCATCCATCCATCCATCCATCCATCCGTCCATCCAATTATGTGTCTTTATTATTATGTCTAACATTCATCTAAAATAAATCCTCCTCCTCCTCCTCCTCCTCCTCCTCCTCCTCCTTCTCCTCTTCCTCCTCCTCCCACCTTCCTACCCTTTCACCCAGCCAACAACAAAAAAATAATAATAATAATTTGAATAAATAAATTAAAAATGATTTTAAAGCACTACAAAAAGAACAACAAAACAAAAAGTAAATGAAAAACAAAAAGAAAAAAAATATTTAAAACACACCCCCCAAAAAAAAACCAACCGAACAAACTCCCGCCACTTTTCCCCAGCACGTGATCAAAGCAGAAGTCAATGGAACATGTAAACCCCTGTCCTATCCCCTGAAAGCCCGGCAAAAATGGAAGTGGTCGGTCCACTAGGCATTAACAGCGCACACAACCAGGCCATGTGTCCTTTTGGGAAGCTGTGACCCGTTTTCTCTGCCTACTTTTTCCTCCCCGCTTTCTCTATCATTTTCTCTCTCATTTGTTTAAAATCTTTTTTTTAAATTATTATTTCTTAATTTTTCGTGAGTGAAATATTATCTTTTCCCATATCATTCGTTACAGGAATTAATATGCTCTGCCTCTGTCTCTGTCTCTGTTTCTCTGTTACAGCACACATCCAGTATGGCTCCACTCCAACCGGTTCGCATCGTTCATAGCCCAAAGAAATAAGCTCAAATAAGTATGTTTCATTATGCTTTTTGTTGTTGTTGTTGTTGCTGTTGTTGTTTTAGTAGATCTAAGTGTTTTACGGTACTTGCAACACAATAAGGTAAATAATAAGTGCCGAAGATTAGATGTCTTACCAGAGAGTAATAAACAAAAAAGAAGTAGGGGAGATAAAGACGATAGATGTTTGATAGGAAAGAAGAAGAAAACCACAGCAGAGCACCCGCCAACTACCCACATAATTTGTTGTTGTCGGTGGTGTTGTTTTCTACTTTAAATCAAATGTGCTCTGAAACTGTCTGTTTGACCCGCCCACAGTCGCAGCTAAATTAATATTATAAATAATCTAGGTCAGGGCAATAGCTGCTTTTAAGAAAATCAAAATGTATTCAAAACCAAATCTAAATCACGACAGACGTGAAAGCAAAGATTATGATTAGTCTTATTTCATGAAGGGGTGAACATTACGAACATCCATCACCCTATATAGTTTGAATAATAAATAACGGTTTTGAAGACACTAAAAGTTATGAATTTGGTCATAGTAACAACCATTAACAAAAGTATTTAGGAAACAACAAGAGGAAGAGGGAGAGGGAGAGGAGGAGGAAAAAATAATGATAGAATAATAATTATTGTTACTATTACTCGTATTATATTATTCATCATTAATATT